TTTAATATATTAACAAAGTTGTTTACAAATATAAAAAGTGGTTAATATATATTAATAATATTATATAAATATTATAAAAATTAATACATCAGTTTGCTTATTCATATTTTTAAAAGGAACAGTTCAAAACAGTTATGTTGACATTATTATGTTTCAGTATAAAGAGATATTTTATATTATGTCTATTATTGTTAATAATGTAACAACACTATTATTTTTATTAATAATAATAATACATTAATTAAAAATGATTTTATTAACATTTTAAAAAGTGGTTGTTTACCCAAATGTAAAAAGATTTTATGCTGTTGGAGTGAATATTAATATAATAATGTAAATACAGAAATATTCTAATATAAACTAAAATTTATTATAATGAATAATATATTTAAAAAAATATTCTAAAATAAAATAATATGTAGCCCAAATAGTTATATTGAACAATATATTTTTAAAAATCTGTAATATGTTCATATAAAAAAATTGTTTTTTTTTTATTGTTCAAAATCTCGAATGGTTCAATTATTAAACTATAATCGTTCTTGTCAATCTTTCAGGGAAGTGTCTGTTCCTGTCTGGATTCACAGAGAAGTTGCTAAATCACATGGATGATGAGAGTTTGCCTGAGAAATACAGCATCGGCTTCACAAATATGGTAGCTAGAGCGACACCGGGAAGCAAAGATCTCTCTAGGTGCAGTAGATAGTCATTCTACTCTCATTCATGACTGGAAGCGGTGATGTTCGTCTAACCTGTTTTGCCTGTCACGTTCTGCAGCAAGGAACTTCGAGAAGGTGGTAAAATCTTAGTGGAAAAGATCAAGAAATTCAAGCCACTCATAGCAGTTTTTAACGGGAAATGTAAGTATTCGAACACAGATACAGAATGAGAACTGATATGAAGGCGTGCATTTAACAATTACATTTGTTTCAGGTATATATGAAATGTTCTGTAGGGAGATATTTGGGAAGAAACCTAAAACACTTGCATTTGGCCTACAGCCTCACAAGATTCCTGACTCTGAGACGGTAAGAAACCATTTTTTGGTTAACTATATGAAAAAAGCAAAACTGTCAGATTTGAGTCATACGCTGCATATTACTGTTTTCTGTAGGCATTGTACCTGATGCCGTCCTCCAGTGCCCGCTGTGCTCAGTTTCCTCGTGCTCAGGACAAAGTGCATTTTTACATCAAGCTGAGAGAGCTCCGAGATCAGCTGAAGGGTGTGATCAGACCAGTGGAGATAGAAGAAGTGAAATACATTTTTGATCTCGGCATGGCCAAAGGTACAAGCAGACCATTTATGATTGCCTTCCGTTTCTTAACCATAATATGAGTGATTACACAATTATGATCTGTACTTGACCACATTTGATTTTCCTTCTGTCTAATAGAGGATGCTAAGAGAATGGCCATCAAGGAAGAGCATTATGATCCTGGTTATGAGGCAGCTTTTGGAGGAGCTTATGGAGAACCGGCACCTGAAGAAGGCCAAAGCAATGGATACTGTAACTTCTCCACATCTGAGAAAACAGGTTGGTACCATCTTTCTTCTGTGGAACACAAAAAAGGTATTTCGAAGAATGCTCCAGTGTTTTTTGTGTCCATACAATGAAAGTCAAAGGTCTTCGGATCCTATTGACAAGTTTAATATCATTTTTGTATTCAAACCTCCAGCTGACACAGTTGAGAAGGCGCCTACGAATCCAAATGCGGTTGGCCAGGTTCAGGACGGTCAATGGATGATGCAGTCTTTTGCCGATCAGATCCCAGACATCGGCAGCTCCTCTCAAGCCCAAAGCTGGGGTGTATGAGGAAGGACAAAGGCTTCAGACGAAGCCTGTCGGTTCCTGTGCTCTTCCAGAGATGCTGTGCCTCTTATCTTCTCAGAATCGAATCCAGGAGTCTTCAGGGGCATTGGTTTCTTTCTCCTTTGCGTTGCTGTGACAGTCTGTTACGTTACAATTTCAGGAACGATTTGAGGAATTGCAGTATCACACAAGGTGGCCCAACTTGCACAAGGAGAATCCAATGGCTGCTGTGCTTTTAAAGAAACTGTACCTCTGAACTTCAATTTGGGGGCCTTTGAGATCTCAAATGCCTCTTTATTAAAGAAAAGAACCGTTTTTAGACCTTTTAGGAATTAGCATTTCTATGGAATTGGAGAATATACTCATCTTTTACTTTAATGGTTTAGAGTCATTGACGTTATTTTCAGTAGTTTAGTGTACGAGGTTCTGAGCACTGGTTTATTGCATTGTGTGATATCAGGGACTGATACTTGATTTTTTTTTCATAAGGAGCGTTCACCATTTTTTCATTTGATATTTTTAGATGGGATGTGTTATGTTTGCTTGTGTAGTCATATTTTAAGTGTAACTACCCACATTTTTCAAATCGTATTGCAAAATCTGTAAGGATAACCTTTAAGTAATATTTTGTTACTATCATAATGTGACAAATGTTATCTTTTTACGTGGACGCTACAATGATGGTTTTAGGAACTTTTATGATGCCACTGCAAGACAAAGTTATAATTACTGGTGACCGTACATTTGAAATGTTGCTTATGAGGAAGCATCAGCATCACTGTTCACAACCATCTCTCTGCCTTCAGTACTGTAAAATACAATACAGGACGACTGGTAATACAAATGAACTAATCCTGAACATGACATAATTTATGGATTTATCGACATGCTCTTTCTTGGTGCTATTTTTACTCTTTCTGTAAACATGATTATCTTTTTTTGTTCATTAAAATACTATTATGCAAATTTTTCCTTGTACATTCATTTCTATATTAGTATTCAGTATTATATATTAGTGAGAAGAGATTGTGAACTCTGGTAGAAAATGTTTAACTATATATTGCATATTTTTTAAGGAGATTGTAAATTGCTAAACCCAAGAATTCGTCTGGCATTCATTTTGTAAATGATCTAACATCTTTAATTTAGAGGCAATAAGTATGTTAAGGTGGTGTGATTCTATAAAAATCATGATTCAAAAGGTTATCAAAACTTTTTTATTATTATTCAAAATAATTACACAGTGTATATACTGTAAGAAGAGGAGGAACAAGAGTTGGAGCTGGTCAGTGAGTTGGGTTTGAAGTTGAAGGGAGTTGGATAGAGTGAAGAGTTGGATATTTCGGTGTACATATGTATCTGAAAACAGAAATTCTTATTTAGGTCCATCACAATTAAAATTTGGATTATTTAGATATGCAAAATCTTTCAAACCTTATTGAGAAAGCTTTCTTCCATATTTGTCCAATCGTTCTCATTGTCATCTGCCACATCCACAGCAGATATGTCCACATCTCTGGAGTGCACTCAACAAGCCTAAAAACAGTCAGGGTCTTAGCATGAAATTACAAGACTATTATGTCAATTTTACTATGTTTGTTTATTGCAGTGTTATTTTAGTATCATTAATATAATATTATAGTATTTATTCACATTTATTCTAATATATATATATATATTTTTTTAAAATATATTTTTATATATACAGTGGGGCAAAAAAGTATTTAGTCAGCCACCAATTGTGCAAGTTCTCCCACTTAAAATTGTGCTAAAGGATATTTATACGATTCCATTTCCAGCCGCAAAGTAATGCAGTGAATGTTGGCTAATTTTTCAGTGTTGGCGAACATGCTAAAAAAGGGAAAAGGTCTAAAACCAAAAAGATAAGTTAGGAGTCAGCTGCCCATTTTAAAGTTATTGGCACTTCAGAGGAGAATATATCGGACATCAGTGCTCTTATTGTCATATTTATTTGTTAGAACAATCAGTGTTCAATAAATAATGTTTCTGGCCTTTAATGTGGTTTCTTTATGTTTTTTCAAGTGTTATATATATATATATACATACAAATAGTTTATAAATTCAATATATTTAGATAATAATATACAAAATATAATTATGTATTTATATAATAATATTAAACAAAAGTCAATACATATAATTAATACAAAATTAAAATAGAATTTAAAAATAAAACAAGTGGGTTTATAGAGTTCTAATTCTATTATCCTATAATAATAGTATAAGTTGGCATTTGTGTATATAAACATACATTTGTTCATACAAAATGTTCAAATAAAAATTAGTTCACTCTTTCTGCACTTTTAATCATACAAACACCAAGTAAATTCATCATAATTCTCTATTTTCTGTACTCCTGTAAAACATTTCTCAAACACTGTCAAGCTCAAGCCATATTTAAAGACTATTGGTCTTGGATCAATAAGCATACAGGTACTAAAAACACATATAAGTAAAAAAAAATTATTAAACTATCCATCTTACACAACATATGAAATGTTTTTCATTACAGAGTTTCTGAAAATGTGGCTCAATGAAAAACATTAAGTAGTAACCATCATGAAAATAAAGACTAGTTTAGCTGCCACTGCACTTTATTTGCTTTAAAATATTCATCATAATCCTAAACATATATAAAAATTAAGAGAATAGCAAATCTGATGTATAACATCAAGTCACACACGAGACAATCTAAGATTATATCTCTCGCTGTAGCTCCCACTGAGAAAAATATCACCTGTGCAGTGTCATTAAGTCCGGTAGGGGGCAGAATTACAATGTATGATGCAAAGTAAAGGCTCACAAAAAAAAAAAAGGATTCTGTCATGTACTCACCCTTATGTCATTCCAAATCAGTCTAGGACTTTCACATTTGGGCAACTATCCCTTTAAACCATGTAGTATAAACCATTTTTTGGTTGAATTCCTGATGCTAATAATCCACAGTTGACCACAAGTGTCCTGTTTTGTGATCCTTGGGCCCACTGTCAAACAGCAGTCATGGCAAAAGGACATATTATTAATCAGCGGAGAGCCAATGAAGTGGCCAAACATATTAAGTAGAGTGTGAGAGATACTGCTATCCCACATGCTCCACCACAATCCTTGGCATTTTCCTGTAAGAACAAATATATAACAAAACATAGTCATTTGTACATAGTATTTAGTCATTTAATTTAATTAGAATATATATACACATACATTATATATATATATATATATATATATATATAT